TATATATATACACACACACACACACACACACACACACACACACAAACACACATTATAGAATTTTAAAAAAAAAGAATAAATTAAAATTACTTTATAAACCACCCAAGCAGGTTGTGTTATTACTTTGGCTACAGAAACACACAAAGAACAAATATAACAGGTCATGATTTTTACATTGATAATTTTAATGTACCGTCACAAGCAAAATACATTATAACTAAATAATCAGTTGAGTGAAAACAAGGCAAGGACACAGACTGCTGATCAGTCTTTGCGTGCTTAAGTGGACCATACGAAAAAAAAATTCTTTAGGGTTTATTATGACATACGCTTCTTAAAATGTAGCCCTATGCCCAATATTCAATGAGTCAATGTCGACGTTAAATAAATAACGAAATATCAAAGCGCTTTACATAAGTGTTAACTATGCTCGATTACAAGTAGCGAACATATTTGAAGAGTTCAGATGCAAAAGCCTCCAAGTGCCATCTTAAACATTCTTCTAAAATTAGCATTTTTCTCAGGCTCCTATGTTCAGTTATTTCACTTTAATGGCAATGAAAATAACCTATTCATTGCTATTAAAGAGAACAAAGAGTGAAAAATTTAAGGGGGTCTGAATACTTTCCGTACCCACTGTATATATATATATATAGATATAGATTAGATGCTCTTTGTTGTTATCGTTTACATTTTCACTTTCCCTACTTAGCGCAAATAAAAAGGTCACTATTTTTAAGTAATAATAACAACAACAACAATTGTACATTTACTCTACTGTATTTGGGTGTAACTATTTCTGTAGGATTACTTGTAAACTGATCATTTTTTTTAAACATTATAGGTCATAGAAAGTTAAAACCATATTAAAGACATTTTCTATGTAGTACTTTTATATTTTTGACAAATGCACAGATGTGTATTGATTATTTTGGAGAAGAAAATAATTATGTAATTTCAATATAGGGGAGGCCAGGGCTGGTTGTCACAACAAAAATAATTATCTCATTTCAATATAGGGGAGGCCAGGGCTGGTTGTCACAACAAAGTGTTTCATAATTGTTTTGCTCTTTAAATGTAGAATAAAAGCTTAAAATAGTTAGGCAGGTTCTTTTGTGACAACTTGCCCCATATAGCGTAAGTACTGTTGGAGCATATTATGTTAAATGGGCTGTGTCTTTCCTCCTGGGCAATAATGGAGGAAAAGTTCAAAAGTTCAAAACCAAGTGTTTAAGATGTGTCTACACAAAAATTAACTTTCAAAAATAAAGCGAGCATAAGAAATATTTAAAAGTGTGACGATTAAGTAAAACATAGAGGCTCCTTGATTTTTTTTGTTATTTATCTCATATACAAATACTGTTTTGACTGAACGAAAGCACCAAGTCTGTGCAGGCACTTTCTCTAAGTCTGTTGGCCAGACTAGAGCTGGATTTACTATGCCCAATATTCAATGAGTCAATGTCGACGTTAAATAAATAACGAAATATCAAAGCGCTTTACATAAGTGTTAACTATGCTCGATTACAAGTAGCGAACATATTTGAAGAGTTCAGATGCAAAAGCCTCCAAGTGCCATCTTAAACATTCTTCTAAAATTAGCATTTTTCTCAGGCTCCTATGTTCAGTTATTTCACTTTAATGGCAATGAAAATAACCTATTCATTGCTATTAAAGAGAAATTACTGAACCTACACACGAGAGCCTGAGAAAAATTATAATTTTAGAAGAACATTTCAGATGGCGCTTAGAGGCTTTTGCATCTGAACTCTTCATTTTTGCTTCTTACCATTTGTTCTCATACCATGTAGACTTTTCTCCAACATTGCGTTCATTTTCTCTTCACTTCTGCAGACTACGAAGAACCAGCTGATTGTAATGACGAATTAACCAGTGACGAAGTGTTATTTTCCATAAAATGGCGCTAAATTGCTTTCTTATCTTAAAGTGATCAGTATTAACAATCCACCAAATGTTATCCCCAATTATCCTTTCAACCGAATAAAGGCCTTTTCACTTTTTTTTTCTTATCTGGGTATGATTGGAATATTAGTCTACAATGTTGAAATCAGTTGCGCTTTTGAATAGGCCCTATTAGTCTTATGTAGTCTATCAGCGCGCACTCCTGAGGCAAATGAAAAAAATCAGTTAATAGTGACTACTGATATTATTCAGGTTATTTAAACTGTTGATATTGTTAACGCAACTTATATGTGACGCAGACATGGCACCGAAGGGTCCTGGCGGTTGCAGGTTGTGGCTGTGATAAAGGGTCGGAGGAGATCCGGGCCAGTATGAGAACCCCGACGGACCAGCACCTGGAGCAACCAGACTGAGTTTGGAAATGCCTGAAAATTGGATGGGAGCGAAGTTGCTCTGGAATTTGTAAATAGCTTGTTCGGTTGAGGAGGGCTGGCACACTTGCGCCAGGCCGTTAAAGTCAAATTTGTACGCGTATCGCTTTCCGTGCACCTTGGTCATGATGTTTTTGTCGTAGTAATAGCGCAAAGCTCGGCTCAGTTTGTCATAGTTCATGTTCGGTTTACTCTTGCGTTCCCCCCACCGTCTGGCCACCTCGTCTGGGTCTATCAGTTTAAACTCTCCATTGGTGCCCTCCCAGGCGATGCAGGTCATATTGGCGCTGTCTGACAGCAGCTCCAGAAGAAATTGCCATAGCTGGATTTGTCCACTTCCTAAAATGCAAGTAAAGTAGGCTTACAGAAATATAGGGAAAGCAAACAGACAGACCTTTTGTAATCAGTATTCTTTGTAAAGAGTGAGAGTAAAGGGCATTCTTCAAAAGCTTAACAAAATCAGTCTTTTTACAACAAAAAAAAGTTTTACTGTAGCGTTCTTGAGAAACTTATATATATA